ATTTTTTGCAGTTCCAATACAAATACTTGTGATTGAATGAATGACAAATCGAATGCATTTTTTTTTTTTTGCAGGTCGAACTGTTCATATCGAGGATAAAGAATTGCCAGATTCGTTGAAACGATTCCTACTGGCTGAATGTTTTACTGATGAACAGGACGGTGCGTTGTTATTTTGTTTTTGTCCACTCGACCAGTAGAATATTTGAGGATTTCCCATATTATTGAACTCAGGAGGGGGAGGAAGGGGAATCGGTGTGGATTACTAGGCCCGCCTGGGCATTCGGTTTGGGGTTTTATATTAGTAATTTCGCTAGAACATACGCATGCGTGGAGCATAGCTGTGCCAGGCTCCTTTGTTTTGCGGAGTTGTAGTATACTTGGGTTGATTTTGTTGTGAATAGAGCTTACAGTTTTGTACTTTTGCAAGTAAATTTCGTTTTGTGAGTATATTTTGGGATTTCTTAGTCTTTTTCTGAATTGATGCCACTAATTTTTCTAGATAGGTGCCGTAATTTTTGAATTCTGTGGCGGAGGGGGAGGGTTTTGAGTTGGGTGGGGCTGAGCAGATTCCGTGCTTTTAGTAATCAAATACTGCAATTTCTAATGATTATTCAGTGAATGAATTTTGTGCTGCTCAGATGATTACTGTAATCTGTTGTCCTCGCCTTTTGTTTTTTACCAGTTGGGTACTGTAGTTGTTCACTTAGGTTACTGTACCCTTCTGTGGCGATTGCTCGGATTACTGTGATGATTACTGTAACTCTATTTCCATTCTTTAATTGTAATTCATTATTCTCGATTTCAGAGTCGTTGTCAGCGGATTATCACGCGACGCGCGCTTCGGCAGGCTTGGGAACCGGAACATCTTCGTACCTAGCCTCACGCCTGGCCGAAGAAGTAGAATTTCAGAAGAGTATTAAAAACGCTAAGTTTAATGTCGGGAAACCTGTGGAATTGGTAAAAACTGAAGCGGACGTCAGAGAAATGGCTGATTATAGCAGCATCAGCAAGGTTCATCTTTAATTTAAATCAGTGTTCAGTTTTTGCTGCGTAGTATAGATGATTGTGCTATGACAACTCGGCCAACGTGGAAACCCTTTAGAAGAGGAGGGGGTTTATTCTTTTCGTCATTTCAGTTTTGCAAGCATTTTGCTTATTTTTGCATGCTTTTTTGCGTGTTTTTGCAGTCTTTGACCAAAATTTTTGCATTTTTTCAAACGAATAATTAGTTGGAAATCCTGGATTTTGGACGGTCTGAATAATTTGCATAAAATTTCGGAGACTTTTGATATGGAGGAGATGCGTGGTGTTTAGAACAAGAGAAATTTGAAGCTGTAATAAAATGATCAAACTTTATGATGGCTCCAGCTTGCTATCCTCTCCGTTCTTCGTACAAAAAGTATCGAAGCATAAAATTGCTTTGCAGGCGCAGTGCATTCTTCCGTCTGAGATGGAGCAGTCGGATGATGAAGATGTTTATGAGAAAATCGTGGAACTGAAGATTGTACGACCAACAGCGCTATGTGTTCGTGATGAAACACTTATGCAAATCGTAAGTACTTTCTTTTTTTTTTGTTGAAATTGCGAAATTTGGCAATTGGCTTGCTTTCTATCTTGATGTCCATTTCTTTTTTTCGTTTTTTTTTTTGGGCGGGGGGGGG